GGGCACCTCCCAGAACATTGTTTTGTGCCACTCCCAACAGAAATACTCCAGGTGGACACCTTCAGCAATCAGGAGCTCCTCAGTTGCTCATATCAAATCCCACCTTGGCGTTTACAAAGACTTATGGGTAGAAAAGCCACACAAAGTAATTTACTACACTGCAGGTGGGTAGTCATTGTATTCTTTACCACCACACTCAGTAAAACAAAATGACAGTTTCACTTAAGAATGTCCTTGATTAAGCAGTAGAAAATACTTTTTTAATGAAATCTCAACCTCTGAATGATGTCTTTTTAATACTGTGTGTGACCAAATGGGAAGTATGCATAAAGTACTTCTACTATATATAAAAGCATGGTGTTTGTCTCAAGGGACAAAAGAATTGTATAATTCTTTGATTTACAAGCTGAACTAGCTGCTTTTTTCACAGAACACCAATTTTACTTGGAAGAACAACTGAGATATGCTTTTTCGCAATGGGTTTGCCGCCAGAACGCAGGTGTTGGTGAAAACCATCGCAATATCTAAGCCAGAATGGGAAAAGAAAAGACTCATATCAACATCGTTGTCATTGGTCACGTAGATTCAGGCAAGTCCACCACTACTGGTCACCTGATCTACAAATGTGGTGGAATCGACAAAAGAACCATCGAAAAATTTGAAAAGGAAGCTGCTGAGATGGGAAAGGGCTCCTTCAAGTATGCCTGGGTCTTGGATAAACTGAAAGCTGAACATGAGCGTGGCATCACCATTGATATCTCCCTGTGGAAATTTGAGACCAGCAAGTACTATGAAACCATCATTGATGCCCCAGGACACAGAGACTTTATCAAAAACATGATTACAGGAACATCACAGGCTGACTGTGCTGTCCTGATTGTTGCTGCTGGTGTTGGTGAATTTGAAGCTGGTATATCCAAGAATGGGCAGACCCGTGAACATGCCCCTCTGGCTTACACACTGGGTGTAAAACAACTAATTGTTGGTGTTAATAAAATGGATTCCACTGAGCCACCCTATAGCCAGAAGAGATATGAGGAAATTGTTAAGGAAGTCAGCACCTACATTAAGAAAATTGGCTACAACCCTGACACAGTAGCATTTGTGCCAATTTCTGGTTGGAATGGTGACAACATGCTGGAGCCAAGTGCTAATATGCCTTGGTTCAAGGGATGGAAAGTCACCCGTAAGGACGGCAGTGCCAGTGGAACCACAAAGCTTGAAGCTCTGGATTGCATCCTGCCACCAACTCGCCCAACTGACAAGCCCCTGCGTCTGCCCCTCCAGGATGTCTACAAAATTGGTGGTATTGGCACTGTTCCTGTGGGTAGAGTGGAGACTGGTGTTCTCAAACCAGGCATGGTGGTCACCTTCGCTC